ATTCCCCATCTCTGGGAATTGCAGCATTCCCAAATCCTGATGCTGGGTCATCCTCAGGTTTTATAGGATCCCTGAATCCCAGGGATTTATTCCCCATCCCTGAGGTTCCCAGCATTCCCAAATCCCAGGGTTTGAGCATCTCTGGGGTTTCCAGAATTTCTGAATTCCCAAGGTTTTAATTCTCCATCCCTGGGAATTGCAGTATTCCCAAATTCCTGTGCTGGGTCATCCTCAGGCCTTGGAGCATCCCTGAATCCCAGGGATTTATTCCCAACTCCCGCCCTCCCCATCTCCCCCCAATCCCAGCTCTCTTCCCACGATCCCGGTTTTTTCCCAGCCCCTCCAGGGGCGTTCCCGTGCCGGGATGGGCCGGACCGGGAAAAGGGGTGGGAATGGGATAAGGGAGAGCGGATCCCGACCCCGGCTTTCCCCATCCCGGCTTTCCCGATCCCGGCTTTCCCGATCCCCACCATGCTCCGCTGCCGGCTCCAAAGGGCTTCCCAACTTCCCAACCTGGAAAAGCGGGATAAACAAAGCGATCCCGTGGCCAGCCTGACATTCCGAGGTGAGGGAATCCCGATTTTGTATTTTTTTTTGGGAAGGAAGGGAGGGTTTGGAATGTTTTTAGCAGCTCTCAGGAAAATTTGGGATCTGGGAAGCTCCTAAATCCTTGGAAAATCTTTTGCTTTGCACCTTTTTTCCCCCTGTTCTCAAAGTTTTTAAATCCACGCTGGAATATCCCTGGGAATTCCATCCCTTGAAATCCTTGAATTCTGCACTGGGATGGATATGAATAATCCCACATGGAACAGGCGTTATCCCATTCCCGAGGGATGGATTTCCTGGGAAAACTGAGGGGTTTGCACTCCCAAAATTCCCTCTGGAGGACGGCGCTGTCCTGGCATTTTCCTTGAGTTCGAAAAGATGGGGGAAAAAAATCCAGTTTTAAACAAAACTTATGGAAAAGGACGAGCAGCTCCCGATCCAGGTTTTGCATTTGCTGCTGATCCCAGTCCCACCGGGATCCCGCTGGAGAATCCCGGGAGCTCCATCTTCAACCAAATCCCGATCCAGGGCAATTCCAGGGCTCTGAATCCCGGGATATACCAGGAACGAGATGGGAATGAATCTCTGGATGAGGAAAACCAGCGGGATGAGTTTTCCATATTCCCAGAGCCGGGAAGTTCGGCTCTTTCCCAATCCCAAATAGGGAAGGGGTCGCTGAACGGTGCGAAAAGAGCGGAAAACCGGGAATATTTGGAATATCCCGGAGTCTCCCGGGATCTGAGTCACCTCCATTGTTTGGCCTTTTCCTTTTCCTCTTCCCGCGGGGGTCCCTCCCTTGGGATGCGGCGACATTCCAGGAGGGATGAGGGGGGCGTGGCTTTGGGAAGGGGGTGAGTGCATTCCCGGGATTGGGAATGTTGGATTTTGGGGGAATCCCGGGATTCCCACCCGCGGCATTTGGGGGATTCTGGGGAAACTGAGGCACCATCCCGAGGTTTGGGAATGGAGGGAATGGAATGTTTGGGATCTCCCCCGGCTCTTCCCACCCTGAATTCCCAGTCCTTGGAAACCTTTGGATGCTCCTGGGGAAACTGAGGCACAGCAAGGAGGATTTTCCAGTGCATTTTCCAACCTGGAAGGGTTGGGGATCCAAGTGGGATCTTGGATCCAATCTCTGCATTCCCAGCCCTGGGAAGAGGGAATGGGGCTGGATCCTGATCCTGGGGATTGTGGGAATTTCTGGAAGCTCAGCCCTCGCTGTGAGGAGAGAATGGGATCCAGTCCTGGTCCTGGAAATTTCTGGAATTTCTGGGATCAGGGATTGGGATCCAGTCTTCATCCTGGGAATTTTTGGAAGCCCAGTTCCAGCTGGGAGGAGGGAAAGGATCCTGATCCTGTTCCTGGGAATTGTGGGAATAATCACTGGAAGCTCACCCCTAGCTTAGATCAGGGAATGGGATCTGATCCTACTCGTGGGAGTTGCGGGAATTTCTGGACGTTCAGGTCCAGCTGGGATCAGGGAATGGGATCCAGTTCTGGTCCTGGGAATTCTGGGAATCCCTGGAAGCTCAGCCCCAGCTGAGATCAGAGTTTCACTGTGGGATCCTGATCCCTGGGAAGTTCCCAAACCCCTGGAAGATCCCAATCCCGGTTTTTCTCCTTCCAGGTGTCAAGAAGAGGACAAAGGTCATCAAGAACAATGTGAATCCTGTCTGGAATGAGGTGAGAATTCCCAGTCCCTGGATTTATCCCCATTCCCAGAAAATGCCCGAGTCCAGGTGATTCCCTGGGGCTTCTGCCCCATGGGAAGTTTGGGATCGTTCCCTTTCCGTTCCAGAATTCCAGGCAGAATTCCAATCTCTTCCCCTTCCAGCAAAGTCTTATCCAGACTTGGCACAAATGTTTCAAGGAATTTCCATGGAATGGGAATTTTTCCAGCACCTTTTCCCTTTCAACACTTTCCTTGTGCTCCCATAGGCCAAAATTCCAAAAAAGAAGGGAATTTGGTGCGAACACTGGGACAGATTTGGGGCTGGAGCAGCTCCTGGGATTTGCTCCTTCCTGGTAATCCATGGCCAAGGAAAACTTTGTCCCAAGGCAACTTTTCCCGGTGAATTTGCTGGGAAATTTGGCTTTGGGAATGCTGTGATTGTGATGGGGTTTGGGATTTGGGTTCTCCACTCCAGACACTGATCCTGGCCTCTCCCTCCTCTTTTTTTCCAGGGATTCGAGTGGGATCTGAAGGGAATCCCTCTGGATCCTGATGCCGAGCTCACCGTGGTGGTCAAGGACCATGAAACCGTGGGGAGAAACAGGTGGGAAAAATTCCGGAGCTGGACACGGCTCCTTCTCCCTTTTCCCATTCCCGGGATTCGTCCGGCTCTTCCCAGACTCCGCGTATTCCCACTGTGGGATGGCCGTGGGAGGCTGGAGCTGCATTTTTGGGCTGCTTCTCTCGGAATCCGGGGGAAATTCCAGCGTTGGAAGGTCGGGAGGACACAGGGGGTGGTTGTTTGGGGACAGACGGACGGACACTTCGGACACTTGGCTGGGATTTGGGAAGGGCTGCCAAGATCATTCCCAAGGCGCCGGCAGTGCCGGGAACGGCGGCGGGAGCGGAGCCTCCGGTTTCCTTCCTCCGGCTGATCCCGGTGCCTCCCCCATTCCAGGGGTTCCCCACGGATCGGGGGCTCCTGCTGGGTGAGGATGGAAGGGATTCCGGTGATTCCCGGCCTTTGCCGGCTCAGTGGGGAGGGAGAGCTGCTTGGAAAAGGGAAAAAAATAGAGGAAGGGATTTATTTTTAGGGGTAAGAGGTTGGGAATGTGGCCTGGGGAGGGAAGGATCCTGATTCCAGGGCTGGAGCTGAGGCTGGAATTGCTGCTGGGCTGAAATCCAAAGGGGGTTGGAATTTGGGGCTGCTCCAACAGCTGGGTGCCCATAAATAGCCACGGGAAAATGGGAGGAGGGTCCTGGATCCCGGAGCAGAAAGATTCCAGCTGGCACCTCCCAGGCTGCTCCAAGCCCCATCCCAGCCTGGCCTTGGGCACTGCCAGGGATCCAGGGGCAGCCACAGCAAATCTGGGAATTCCAGCCCAGCCAGGAATTCCTTGCCAAGATCCCAGCCCAATCTCCCCTTTCCCAGTGGGAGCCATTCCCTGGCTCCTGTCCCTCAAGCCCTTGTCCCCAGTCCCTCTCCAGCTCTCCTGGAGCCCCTTCAGGGACTCTGAGCATTCCCTGGATTTTTCTCTTCTCCAGGGGAACATTCCCAGCTCTCCCAGCCTGGCTTCATTTCCATGGCCTCCTCTGGACTCCCACCCTTGTCTCTGGAATGGTTTGGATGCCCTTGGAGCAGCACTGATCCCTCTCCCTGTTTCCCGCAGGTTTTTGGGAGAATCCCGGGTGCCGCTCCGGGATGTTCTGGGCACTCCCAGCCTGGCAGCCTCGTTCAACCTCCCCCTGCTGGACTCGCGCAAGGAGAGCACCGGGGTGAGCGCCCAGCTCCAGTTTGGGACCAGCTGCGGCTCCCAGTTTGGGACCAGTATGAGCCATGGTGTGACCAGTTTGGGCTCCCAGTTTGGGACCAGTATGTGCCATAGCATGGCCAGTTTGGGCTCCCAGTTTGGGACCAGTATGAGCCATAGCATGGCCAGTTTGGGCTCCCAGTTTGGGACCAGTATGTGCCATAGCATGGCCAGTTTGGACTCCCAGTTTGGGACCAGTATGAGCCATGGTGTGGCCAGGGGGGCTCCCAGTTTGGGACCAGTATGTGCCGTGGCGTGGCCAGTTTGGGCTCCCAGTTTGGGACCAGTACAAACCATGGTGTGACCAGTTTGGGCTCCCAGTTTGGGACCAGTACAAACCATGGTGTGACCAGTTTGGGCTCCCAGTTTGGGACCAGTACAAACCATGGTGTGACCAGTTTGGGCTCCCAGTTTGGGACCAGTATGAGCCATAGCATGGCCAGTTTGGGCTCCCAGTTTGGGACCAGTTTGGGCTCCCAGTTTGGGACCAGCTGGGGCTCCCAGTTTGGGACCAGTATGTGCCATAGCATGGCCAGTTTGGGCTCCCAGTTTGGGACCAGTACAAGCCATGGTGTGGCCAGGGAGGCTCCCAGTTTGGGACCAGTATGAGCCATGGCATGACCAGTTTGGGCTCCCAGTTTGGGACCAGTATGAGCCATAGCATGGCCAGTTTGGGCTCCCAGTTTGGGACCAGCTGGGGCTCCCAGTCTGGGACCAGTACAAGCCATAGCATGGCCCCTGTGGGCTCCCAGTTTGGGACCACTTGGGCTTCCCAGGTTGAGACCAGTTGGGGCTTCCAGTTTGGGACCAGTCTGAGCAATGTCCTTACCAGTGGCAGCTCCCAGTTTGAGACCAGTCTGAATCCCTTCCCTCCCAGTTTGGGACCAGTTTGAGTCTCATCCCTCCCAGTTTGATCCCAGTTTGAGTCCTGTCCCCACCAGCTGAAGCTACCAGTTTGGGACCGGTCTGAATTCCATCCCTCCCAGTTTGATTCCAGTGTGAGCCACATCCCTCCCAGTCTGATCCCAGTTTGAATCCTGTACCTCCCAGTCTGGGACCAGTCTGAATCCCTTCCGTCTTACTCTGGGACCAGTTTGAGTCCTGTCCCTCCCAGTTTGATCCCAGTTGGAGTCCTGTCCCTCCCAGCTTGATCCTAGTTTGAGTCCTGTTCCTCCCAGTTTGATCCCAGTTTGAGTCCTGTCCTTCCCAATCTGATCCCAGTCTGAATCCCTTCCCTCCCAGTTTGATCCCAGTTTGAGTCCTGTCCTTCCCAATCTGAGACCAGTCTGAATCCCTTCCCTCCAAGTCTGGAACCAGTTTGAGTCCCATCCCTCCCAATCTGATCCCAGTCTGAATCCCTTCCCTCCCAGTTTGATCCCAGTTTGAGTCCTGTCCTTCCCAGTCTGGGACCAGTCTGAATCCCTTCCCTCCCAGTTTGATCCCAGTTTGAGTCCTGTCCTTCCCAGTCTGGGACCAGTCTGATCCTTTCCCTCTCAGTTTTATCCCAGTTCTCCCATCCCAGCCTCTCTGACACTCATTCCCTGTTTTCCAGGCCTCCCTGTTCCTGCAGGTGTCCTACATCCCCCCTCCGGGCGCTATCCCGCTTTTCCCTCCTCCGGCCCCTCCGGAGCCGGCCCCGGCTGCAGCCGAGCTGGACACGGTCACCGGTAACCACAGCCCCTCCCCGTCCCGGATTTTGGGATCCAAACCCATTCCCAAATCCCACATTCCTCTTCTCCCGCCGGGCAGAGACGGGCGGAGAGGAGGACACGGAAGATCCGGAGGCCACGGGGGACACGGAGCCCTCGGCGTCCTCGGGAGCACCGGGCTCGGAGCCGCCCTCGCTCCCAAGGAAACCGTCCGGGAATCACATCCAGGGGGTGAAGAGGAGGAGGAGGAGCTCTCCCAAAAAACCTTTATCCAACAAACCACAGGACTTCCAGGTGGGATGAGCTGTTCCCTTAAAATCCTGCCGGTTGTCCTGGTGATTCCCTGTCCTCCATCCTATGGGATGATCCTGGTGATTCTCATCCTGGTGATTCTCATCCTGGTGATTCCCTGTCCTCCATTCTGTGGGATGATCTTTGTGATTCCCTTCCCGGTGATTCCACATCTCCACCCCATCCCAGATCCGGGTGAGGGTCATCGAGGCCCGGCAGCTTCCCGGGATCCAGATCCGGCCGGTGGTGAAGGTGACGGTGGCCGGACAAACCCGGAGAACGCGGATCCGGAAAGGGAACAGCCCCTTCTTCGATGAGGTCAGCGGGAATTCCCACTCCAACGATTCCTGGGAGAGGCTGCGATGTGGGAATGCGCTCCGGGTGGAAAACTGGGATAACGCCTCATCCTCATCCTGGTTTTCCACAGACTTTTTTCTTCAACGTCTTTGAGTCCCCATCGGAGCTGTTCGATGCTCCCATTTTCCTCACGGTGAGTGTTGGGAAATCCTGGAATTCTCCCCTTCCCAGGGAAACCCCTCCTGTTCCCCAGGATCCTCCATCCTGGCAGGATTTGGGCTGGATCACACATTTTTCCTCATTTTCAGGTCGTGGATTCTCGGTCGTTCCGCACGGATTCAGTGATCGGGGAATTCCGGGTAAGATCCCATCCCCTTTTCCCAGCGTTTCCTGCTCTGGATGAACTCTGGCATCTCCTTTTCCTTTAATCCCGCAGATGGATGTGGAGACCGTTTACTCCGAGCCAAGTGAGCCTTGGGAAATTTCTTTGGGATTTTTTTGGGAAAAGCGCCCACACATCCCAACTCTTCCATAGAGGAGCCCCAAATCCCAAATCCATGGCCATGGAATCCCAGAATGGTTTGGGTGGGAAGGGACCTTAAGGATCATCTGGTTCCATCCAGGGAAAAATTCCACCCTCCCAGGTGGATCCAAGTCCATCCAACCTGGCCTTGGACATTTCCAGGGATGGAGCATCCATAGTTTTCTAGGAATTTTTTTCCAATTACCCTTCCCTCTTCCCTGGTCCCTTCCTGGGAAAGGAACTGAAATATTCTCTTATCCCACTGCATGATTTCCATTTAAACCCCACCCAGGAGCATCCCTGACCTCCCTGCACATCCAAGGAGTAATTCCCAGTTTCCCACGTTTTCCCGCAGAACACGCTTTCCGCAGGAAGTGGCTGCTCCTCTCGGATCCGGAGGATTTTTCCGCGGGAGCCAAGGGCTACTTGAAGGTCAGCGCCTGCGTGCTGGGGCCTGGAGACGAAGCTCCCGTGAGTATTCCTGCTGGGAATGGTGGGACATTCCAGCCCTGGGGCGTTCCAGCCCTGGGATATTCTGGCCAAGACCCACCAACCTCCATGGCCATTCCCAAGGAAGCCACAGTTTGGATTTTCCTCTGTTTTGGGGGAAAAGTGTTGCATTTTATCATGGAATCCTGGAATGGTTTGGGTTGGGGAAGATCTTAAATTCCACCCCTTCCCAGCTTAGGGACACTTCCCACTGTCCCAGGTGGATCCAACCCTGATGTCCAACTTGGGATCCAGGGGCAGCCACAGCAAATCTGGGAATTCCAGCCCAGCCAGCAATTCCTTGCCAAGATCCCAACCCAATCTCCCCTTTCCCAGTGGGAGCCATTCCCTGGCTTCTGTCCCTGCAGGCCTTGTCTCCAGTCCCTCTGCAGCTCTCCTGGAGCCCCTCCAGGGGCTCTGAGGATTCTCGGGAACTTTCCCTTCTCCAGGGGAGCATTCCCAGCTCTCCCAGCCTGGCTCCAGAGCTCCTGGGTTCCAGAATCCTGGAATGTTTTGGGTTTGGTTAAATTCCACCGCATTCATGGGCAGGGACACCTCCACTATCCCAGGTTGCTCCAAACCTTGTCCAACCTCACCTTGGACACTCAGAGAGCTGGAGCATCCACCCACCCTCTCTCTTTTGGGATTTTCCTGCTCATTCCCGGATCCGGGGTGACTTTTCCCGTTGTCCTGTTCCCGCAGCTGGAGAAGAAGGAGGTGTCCGAGGACAAGGAGGACATCGAGGCCAACCTGCTGCGCCCCACCGGGGTCACCCTCCGGGGCGCCCAGTTCTGCCTCAAGATCTACAAAGCCGAGGATTTGCCCCAGAGTAGGTTTTTCCTTTGGATCCCTTGGAATCGAGACATTCCAGGCAGGAATTAGGGCCCGGAGAAGGAAACGATCCGTTATTATAATCCAAGGATGTTGGGCAGTTTTATGGGAGAGGAGTTTCTTACTGGTCCAAACTGGTTTTATCCCCCTGCTTTTCCCGCCTGGAGAGCGTCTCCTCCATGGGAATGCTCATCCTGCTGGGGGGACAGCTGGGACCCTCTGGATGCTGCAGAATTCCATGGATTTTGGCATCTCCCTTTCTTCCCAGTGGATGACGCCGTCATGGACAACGTCCGGCAGATCTTCGGCTTTGAGAGCAACAAGAAAAACCTGGTGGATCCCTTTGTGGAAGTCAGCTTTGCCGGGAAAACGGTCCGTGGAGCGGGATCCGCCGGGATCCCGGGAATGGCAGCAGGAGGAATCCGGGATTGGGATGGCAGTGGGGTGTTCCTGGGGCTGGGATAACAGTGGGATGATCCTGGGATTGGGAATGGCAGCAGGACATTCCCTCCCAGATTTCTGGGATTGGGATTTTGGTGGGATGTCCTCAGGACTGGGATGGCAGTGGGGTGTTCCTGGAGTTGGGATAAGAGTGAGATGATCCTGGGGTTGGGAATGGCAGCAGGATGATCCTGGGATTGGAGTGGCAGTGGGATGATCCTGGGATTGGGAATGGTGGCGGGATGATTTTGGGATTGGGAATGGCAGCAGGACATTCCCTCCCAGCTCTCTGGGATTGGAATTTAAGTGGGATGTTCTTAGGACTGGGATTACAGTGGGATGATCCTGGGATTGGGAGCGGCAGTGGGATGATTTTGGGATTGGTAGTGGTACCAGGATGATCCTGGGATTAGGAATGGCAGCGGGATAATCCTGGGATTGGGAATGGCACCGGGATGAACCTGGGATTGGGAATGACAGGGGGACGTTCCCTCCCAGATCTCTGGGATTGGGATTTCAGTGGGATGTCCTCAGGACTGGGATGGTAACAGGGTGTTCCTGGGACTGGGATAACCTTGGGATTGGGAATGACACTGGGATAATCCTGGGATTGAGAATGGCACTGGGATGATCCTGGGATTGGGAATGGCAGCGGGATGACCTCTCATGGTCCTCAGGGTTGGGATGGCAGTGGGACATTCCCACCCAGGTCTGTGGGATTGGGATAACAGCGGGATGTCCTTGGTGTTGGGATTTCAGTGGGATGGCCCCTCCTGGGTCTCTGGGACTGGAATTTCAGTGGGATGTCCTTGAGGCTGGAATGGCAGTGGGACATTCCCTCCCAGGTCTTTGGGATTGGGATGGCACTGGGATATCCTTGGGGTTAGAATGGCAGTGGGACATTCCCTCTGGATCCCTGGGATTGGGATTTCAGTGGGATGTCCTCAAGGCTGGAATGGCAACAGGACAGACCCCAGGAATCTGGGGTTGGGATGGCAGTGGGACATTCCCTTTGGATCTCTGGGACTGGGATTTCAGCAGGATATCCATGGGGTTGGGATGGCAGCAGGACAGTCCCCAGGAATTTGGGATTGGGATGGCACTGGGACTGTTACTCCCAGATCTTTGGGATTGGGATGGCACTGGGATGTCCTTGGGGTTGGGATGGCAGTGGGATATTCACTGTAGATCCCTGGGATTGGGATTTCTGTGGGATGTCCTTGGAGCTGGAATGGCAGTGGGATATTCCCTCCAGATCCCCAAGCCTGGAATGAGGAAATTCAGTCTTTAAATGGAGGAATTTGGTCTTGGAATGGGGAAATTTGCTCCTGGAATGGGGCAGATGTGATCCTGCTGGTCCCAAGGTGGGAAGACCCCTGGGAAATCCGAAGCATCCTCTGCCTCCTGCACCAGGGGGTTTAGGAACCCCATGGAATAGGGGATGGATTTTAGGGAATCTGAGGCTGGATTTTAAGGAGGCTGAGGCTAGATTTTAAGGAATTTGGGGACGGATTTTAGGGAAACTGAGGCTGGATTTTGAGGAGCCTGAGACTGCATTTTGGGGAACCTGAGGCTGGATTTCAGGAACCTGAAGCTGGATTTGGGGGAATGTGAACCTCAACTTTTGGGAATCTAAGACTGGATTTTGGGGAACCTGAGGATGGATTTTAGGGAATCTGAAGTTGGATTTGGGGGAATCTGAGCCTCAACTTTCTGGAATCTGAGACCAGACTTTAGGGAATCTGAGACCAGATTTTAGGGAATCTGAAGCCGGATTTTAGGGAATCTGAGGCTTCCCAGCTCCATGAACTGGGCCAACAGCCGCTTTCCTGGGACAACACCGACTTTTCCCTCTTCCCATCCCTCCTTTCCAGCTCTGCTCCCGCATCCTGGAGAAAAACGCCAACCCCCAGTGGAACCAGTGCCTGACGCTGCCGGCCATGGTGAGCCCTGGTGTCCCCAAGGTCCCCTCCCAGTGTCCCCAGCACTGCTCACCCTCTTCCCGTATCCCTTTTCTCAGTTCCCTTCCATGTGCGAGCGGATGAGGATCCGTGTGATGGACTGGTGAGCGGGAAGGGCATTCCCAGTGCCCGGAATGGCGGGATGGGTGTGGGGACATTCCCTCCCCCACGGTCCCCAAAGTGACGATGTCACCTCGCAGGGACCGCCTGACACACAACGATGTCGTCGGCACCGCTTTCCTCGGAATGTCCAAGATTTCGGCCCCCGGCGGGGAGCTGGAGGGTAAGGGCAGGAAGCAGGCCGGGATTTGGGATGCATGGCCTTGGAGGAGCTGCATGGCATGGCTGGAGGTTGGTGGTGGCTCTGGGGATGTCACAGCTGTCACCGTCCCTGCTTGGGGACAAAGGGTCCTGTGGTCACTTCAAGCTGTGCTGCATTTCCAGATTGGATCCAACCCCTCTGGATTCTTGGGATGTGGTGGATTCTTGGGAATGGGGGACAGAAGCTGCAGGTCCATGGCATGGCTGGAGGTTGGTGGTGGCTTTGGGGACGTCACAGCTGTCACCGTCCCCACCTGGGGACACGGGATGGGGTCCTGTGGCCACTCTGAGCTGTGTTCACTTTCCGGATGGATCCAACCCCTCTGGATTCTTGGGATGTGGTGGATTCTCGGGAATGGGGAAAAGGAGTTGCAGGTCCATGGTATGGGTGGAAGTTGGTGGTGGCTTTAAGAATGTCACAATTGCCACTGTCCCCACCTGGGGACATGGATGGTGTCCTGCAGTCACTCCAAGCGGTGCCCCACTTCCAGATTAGCCCCAACTCCTCTGGATTCCTGGGATTTGGTGGATTCTTGGGATTTGGTGGATTCTTGGGAATGGGGGATGGAGGCTCCAGGTCCATGGCTGGCTGGAGGTTGGTGGTGGCTTTGGGGATGTCACAGCTGTCACCGTCCCCACCTGGGGACACAGGATGGGGTCCTGCAGCCACTCTGAGCTGTGGCCCGTTTCCAGATTGGTTCCAACCCCTTTGGATTCTTGGGATTTGGTGGATTCTTGGGATGTGGTGGGTTCTTGGGAATGGGGGATGGAGGCTGCAGGTCCATGGTGTGGCTGGAGGTTGGTGACACGTGGTGGTGGTGGCACCGCTGCTGGCAGCCACGTCCCCCTGACGTGTCCACCCCACTGAGGTGACATTTAGGGGCTGTCACAGGGTGAGAATTCCCATTCAGCCTGTGCTGTTCCAAATCCCGGGAATTTTCTGTGGTTAAACACCCCCAGGCGTGGCAGGGCTCAGCCGAGTGTCACTGTCACTGGTGCCAGGTGGGAGAGTGGGAATTTGGGACGTGGCTTTGGACCTGCTGAGGGCTTGGAGCTTCCACCTGCATGAACTTTCCCTGCTGCCAGTGCTTCCGTGGAATCTGTGATCCCAGTGGGAATTCTGCACTTGGCTTTGTGACTTCCCCATGAGCTGTAGGGACACGGGATGGCCACGCTGGAAAAAGCTTGGAGCATGCTGGGATAGTGGGATGTGTCCCTGCCCATGGAATGGGATGAGCTTTAAGGTCCTTCCAAGCCATTCCGTGATTCCATGGATCAGGACACGATCCAGAGGCTCCACCCGTGTCCCACCCCTGGTGCTGTCCAGTCCCCTCTTCCCAATCCCAACACAAATCCTGGGATGGGCTGGAGAGAGAGAGAGAGAGAGAGGCTGGGAGGGAGGATGGGAATGGTGGGATCCAGGATTGGCATCTCCCTTCCCACCACTGGGATCTGTTTGATCCCAAGGAA